TTCCTCAGAAATAATTCAGAAACGCTCTTGGTCATCATTCCCCACTCCCAAAAGCGACTTCGTTGTCTTAGTGTCTACCTTTCTTGACCATGTGCATTACAGTTTGACTCAAAAAATGAATAAATAAAGAAGGTTTTTGCTTCCATTTGCTCCTAAAAAGACCCATGAAATTGCGTAAATTGCAAAAATGCTGGTCAATGTTGTATAGACAAAGACAAGACTCGAAAATGATTGGTTGCCACCTTCATTGAGGAACGGAAGGAGATCCGCACGGCAGAGAGCCGAAATTGGCCCTCTGTTTTAAGCAAAGGTTATTAATACTGCATTGACATGCATATTAATTTTATTATTAAAAGGATGTATAATAGTACCTTGCCCCTTAAGTCTAGTATTAATCACTGGTGCATTCTCCTTGAAAATTTACCTCTTGCAAAATATGTTCAAAAAAAAGGATATATAATAGATATTATAATATATTATTAGTATTTATTTTATTTTTTAAAAATTAAAAAAATTTAAAATTTATATTATTAAAGATATCATTAATTTACTTTTTCAAAAAAAAAAAAAAAAAAAAAAAACTTTGCAAATCACATATAGATTTGAAACCTCAAAATATAAATTTAAATTCTTAGTAGACATGATGATATCTTGATATTAATTTGTATTATTTTTATATGGTAAATATTTGAATTCATAATCTTAACACTAAAATTAAGTTTTTTAATTAGTACATATACTCCACTAACTTAATTCATATTTGTATCATCGTGTGAACTAGAAATTGGGATCAATAAAAACACTTGCGGAAAATTAAAATAACTTTAATGGGATCATGTTATTCACGAGTTGTATCCAACATTTCACTGTAATTATAACACGATTTTGTTTTCCAGTAGTGTTTTGTTAACTGTACTAAGACTAAGCTAGATTTGGTTCTAGGCCTTTATTCTTTGAAAAAGATATAAAAGAGCTTTTTTTTTTTTTTAAATAGTTGTTAATTGAGAAAATTTCACATTAAAATATATTAAGAAGATATGTAAAGTTAAATATAACAAAGGTTACTTTAATTATTTATTGATAATTAATTTTAAATTGAATGTGCGCTTTCTATTAATTAAAACTCACATGCCCAATTTTTATATGATATTAGAGTTTAAACAAGGTTGCACAAGGGAAAGACATATTAAGCTCATTTGTTAGCTCAATCAAGATCCACGTAACATAGCACATCTGCATATGAGGAGAGTCTCTAAAATTCATAGCATGAGATCAAAATGATAGAAATCAAAGTTAATATTGAGTTTACATGTGAGGAAAGCATAAGTTATATATAAAGAGATTCCCACACCCTAGCTTAGTTGTCAAGACCCTTGATCAAGTGAGGATAACCTTTTATGAGTTACGTATTCAAACCTCATGGATGACATTTCTTCTTCTCTCAAATTACCCTTGTCCAAAAAATAATAATAATAAATATAAAAAATGCTAGTCTATTTATTATCAATTAATGTTAGGTTGAATGCAAATTTTATATTCAAATTCATTTGTCCAATTTTCACAATAATTAAGAGGTAATTTTTTTATACAATTTTTTTATGTAAACCAACTGATTTTTTTCATTCAATTGAGATAATTGATATTATATACATCTATTTATTTAATTATATATAAAAGTTGTATGAAAAATTATAAAAAAATTGTCTATATATTATTATTATTGTTAGAATTACAATTCCACCAATCTCAAGTGGGAGTAGCACTAATTGTGAAGTTGACCAAACAGCGTAGTACCTGTTTGAAAATAATTAAAAGTATGAATTATAAGTGAATCCGTCGAAAATGAGAACTTCTAAGCAGACTCTAACTACTGTGGCATGTTCATAATTAAACAGAATATCAGTGAAATTTTCAAAGATGTAAACCAACATTATTATAACACGATCAGGAGCTTCGTCAGCAATGCCCGCATCAAATTTCCCTCTTATTGCCTGTAAATCCCCCAACCGGAATGACTACCTAAAGCACTCAAAATGACCAAACATTCCTTACCTGTTCCCAAAGTACAAAACCTTCTCTCCCTTCTCGTCCTCATTTTCACACCGTTCAATGTAATTTCATAAAGCATTGAAACAGAACGTACAATTCTTCTCGACCTTGATTTTAAGCAACATCTCCGGTGAGTTCCCCAAAACTGCTGTACAATTGCTTCAAGCTCCAGCACTTAGAGTCCTAGACCTCTCTCAGAACTACTTCATCGGCCCCATTTCCGACGATATTGAACGGTTATCAACTCTGCTTTACTTAGACGTCGGTGCCAACAATTTTTCCGGTGGCATTCCACCGGGCATTTGCTGATCATCGGAGTTGCGAGAACTCTATCTCTACCGGAGTGTGTTTTACAACGGTACTTTCACGGAGGAAATCGGAAACCGGAAACCGGAAACCTACCAAATATTAAATGTTAATATTTTAATTTTGTCCTTAACATTTACTAGAATTTTTTAGATTAATTATAAATAAGTTG